TGAATTATTAAAGTTCTTTGAGGTTGACGTGCACTGTGGAAAGGTCGGTTTGTCAGCCTGTTCGACTGGATAAAACACATTACGACATCTTGCTTGTTGTCTGAGTTAGTCTGGGAGATTTTTGACCACCCCTTGTTACCTTGTCGGTAATCAGTTCTTTAACTGGCATGCGACGGAAAGTGCTCCAAGTTTTAGTGTTTTTGTCTGCAGTCCGTCCAAACGAGTTCCATCACCATAGGTCAGAGAGGACGCTGGTGACGCCGGTGTCAAGAACCGACAGGGCAACGGGCTCGTGGCCCGGTGGGTAGAGGCGTGGACTTCTAAACCAACAGGTCACGAGTTCGAGGCTCGGGTGTTGCGCACTTCGGGCTTGGGTATGGCTGGCTGGCGACGGCTAATAAGCCAGAAATGGCCATTCCAGTCTTCCTCGTCTTTGTCGGTAATACCATTCTGCCTATATATCATGCGCCGCTGTGCGGCTGCTGGTTGGGCTCGAGAGAGAGCCCTTAAGGCACAACGGAACGAGTGAGTTCCGTATAACCGATCGGTGAGCGCCCCCTACCACCACAAGAAATCTATTTAGCGGCGCTAGCATGATGTAGGAAGAAGATACACGCTGATCTTGCAGCACTGAATAGTTTATTTTGTTCAAAAGTGCTTACAACACGTTTGTTGTGATGAAACTAAGTTCACGCCTTTGATACATTGAGTTACCGGTTAGTCTTGCTTGATCGCGCGGAGTATGAACGCTATCCTATGAACTCCTGTTGGTGCTCTGGGCTGATTTTGTCTCAGTTCTCCCGTACTTGTCTGGGTTCGACGAATTCTTCGTTCGCATTTGCTCCACTTCTGCGATGATTTTTCTTGTCGTTAGAATGTAGTCCTGTGCAAAAAGGAGTGAGGGACAAAAATGTAATTCTACTCTGCAGCAATTTATAACTAGTTACGCACAGGACAACAATGTGTATTTGGGCCGTTACAACCCGACAGCTGGGACTGGTAGACATTGTCATGCCTAGCGTGCGTCCAGAAATAATATGCGTCGTACGCGTAAACTGCTGAGCGAGATCTCTTCGGAGCAAGTACCATGGAGACACGCCGAACTCTCGAGACTGTCTTCGTTGTCTGTTTGGGCTTCGCGCGATCGAATATGTCACTGTGATAAATAACTTCTTGATTTCCTCGTTTTTATGGTAGTTCGGGTGGGGATTTCGATGCCTGGTGATCCTGCCTCGGCAGATTTAGACACGAGAACTGGCAAGTCCTCATTTTACGCGAAACCCATCCAAATGAAGGTCTAATCGCTGATGGCAGTAGGTACTCTTAGGCCCATCAAAATTGAAACATGCTATACTGGTCTAATTGGAAGGAGGTACTCGCGCTATGCTGTCAGCACTGCACCCATATCCCTATGACTGATTTCGCTGCGGAAAAAACGAAGTTAACTGATTTTGTCTATTCAGGATGACATTTTGGAAAAAGTGGCCATTTGCCAGAACGAATCGGGATGTTGAAGGCCATTGTCTTGGCATTTTTGAGTGTTAAGACGGGCTGGGATATAGACTTTAATCCCATTATTTTGGTGAACAAAAACCGGATTCGTTTAGTGTATTTTGGTTTAGAAGATGGGACGTGACTGTTGTAGGCAGGAAGAAGCGGGCCAATCAGGTTGATTTTTAAAGCACGGTAATGGTGATAGGTGTAAGAAATCGCCTGCATAGGCGGCCTACCTGTTCTGCTTACTAGTTTAGCAATTTAGTTTTCGCCTCCACGTTGTGAGAAGACTGGGGTTGCAGAGTTGGCGATGCACACGATAAGCACGCTAAAGTTTCCACGTCGGATACGTCACAGTCCTTCTCAGTCAGATAGCATATTATCTGCATGAGACGGAGCAGGCTCCACATTCATGTTGACAGTCTCGATGGGCAGGTTTTTAGAAAGATGCGAGTATGTTCGACATGCGACGTAGATTTATGCGGCGATGTTTTCCGCAGAAGGGCACACTCACAAAACTCCTGCCTGTCACCAATTGCACTCAAACTGAGGGCTTTTGTACGCGTACACATGCAGTAAACGAGTTTTAGCCCCGCCTTTCCTTCCATGTCAGTCTGTGTTTCGTCCTTATTTCAGCGATAAATTCAAAATATTAAAATTTCAGTGTACAGGGCCACCAATTACCATCATTTTAACTACTAACTTTCAGTTTTGCCTTCTTTCTTACACTCTACAGCCTTGCCTTCCCT